CATATATATATATATATATATATATATATATATATATCAATGCCTAGGATCTGTCTGTCCAGTGAAAGTCAACTTTCTGGGTTTGAGGCCTCAGCGCTAGTACAAGGAGGAGCTAGGAGTTGAACCCAGGCCAAGATTGCCAAGTAGGTCCCCAGTGTGATGGCATCCCTGGAATAGAAGACCTGCTCTCGTGCCACCCTGCTTCCTGTTCCTTTTCCACTGATTGCTGGTACCTGATGCCCGGATCAGCTTCTTCTTCCGAGGTTTCTGGCAGGCCCCCCAAAGATGAGCCTTCTGAGTGCTGGGGGAACTGGAGGGGGTAAAGTATCTCCTCCTGGCTGGGCCTGAGGCTGGGTTCCGACAGAGGGAGAAGGAAACAGGTCAGATTCCCCATCCTCACCTGACTTCAACTCTTACCTTCTTTTTTTTCCTTTGAGTTGGAGTCTCACTCTGTCACCCAGACTGGAGTGCAGTGGCCACTCCCAGCCACCGCAGCCTCGACCTGCTGGGCTCCGGTGATCCTTCCGCCTTAGTCTTCCAAGTAGCTGGAACGTGCTACCACACCTAGCTAATTTTGTTGATTTATTGTAGAGATGAGGTCTCACCAAGTTGCCCAGGTGGTTCTCGAACCCGCGGGTTCAGGCAATCCACTCACCTCAGCTTCCCAAAGTGCTGGGATTACAAACTGAGCCACGGAGCCCGGCTTTTCTCTTACTTTCTAAATAATGTTCCCCAATCCTGGGGCAGGGTGGGTCCTCAGACTGACTTTACAAATGGGGAAACTGAGGCACTGGGAGGAGATCCAACTTGTCTGAGGTTGCACAGCCAGGAGGCAAAAAAGGCAAAATCTGGTGAAAACTCAGATTTCCTCAGGGGTAGTCTGGCCCTTCACCAAGAGGGAGAACAGACTCAACACATCCCAGATGCTTCATCCTCTTCCCCACCCCAAACGAGTTCCTCCTCCTACCTTTCTCAACATATTGTAGGCACCACCACCCACCCTGGGGTCATCCTGGGCCTCTCTCTTCAGCCTTGTTTTTTGTTGTTGTTGTTGTTTTTCTCATTAACATCTCCATGGCCCAGCACTGGCTCACAGCTGTAATCTCAGCACTTTGGGAGGCCAAAGTGGGGGGATCACTTGAGTCCAGGAGTTCAAGACCAGCCTGGGCAACATAGCAAGGCCTCATCTCTACAAAAATTTAAAAATTAGCTGGATGTGGTGGCACACGCCTGTTGTCCCAGCTACTCAGGAGGCTGAGCAGAAGGATGGCCTGAGCCCAGCAGGTTGAGACTGCGGTGAATTGTGATTATGCCACTGCACTCCAGTGTGGGTGACAGAGTGAGACTCCGACAGGAGAAAAAATATCTCTGAAATTTACCCACTTCTGTTCACACTCTCAGCTATAATGCGAGGTTGGGCCTCATCAGCACTCCTTAAAGTAGCTTCCCTGATCTCCCTGACTCTAGTTTCTCACTTCATAACCAATCCTCTGTCAGGGACCTCATTCTAAAAAAAAAAAATCTGATCATGACTTTTGGGCATAAAATCCTCCAGCAATTCTCTTCACGTGCCACAGCCACAGCCAGGCACCAGCCACCCTTCTGGATCTTGTGCCTGGCGTCCTAGTCTGTCCTAGTCCATTCTGCCTGTGTACATTACACTCCAGCAACAAGGACAGCACTTCTGCCTTGGGTGACTAGTATATTCTAGGCACTGTATTATGTTTTTCCATATGTATGGGGGGACGCCCCCAAAAAACAGAATTATCCTTGTAGTACTAGGTATGTGCTATAGGAACCCGCTGGCATCAGTGCACCAGCTAGCGTTGTTGTGAGAGGCGACATTGTGAAAAAACATCTGAGTAGGTGACTGGTTCTTCCACCATGACAACACACCTGCCCATACCATGCTGGGTGTTCAGTAGCTTTTGACTCCAAATGGCTTGATCCCTGTGCTCTACCTTTCCTATTCACCCAATCTCACCATGAACGACTTTTTTTTTTGTTTCCCCAGATTTAAAAAGTCCTCAAAGGGAAACACTTTGTTGATGTGGAAGAGGTGAAACAAAAAACGGCAGAAGCACTAAAAGCCATCAAAATCGACGAGTTCAAAAACTAAGCAGTGGAAAAAAGTGCCTTGATCAGTGTATTGCATCAAACGGAGAGTACTCTGAAGGTGACTGAAGTTTAAACATGGAAGAATAAATACACAATTTTTTATAAATAAATTTTGGGGCCAGGCGTGGTGGCTCACGCCTATATTCCCAGCACTTTTGGGAGGTTGAGGTGAGAGAATTGCCTGGACCCACGGGTTTGAGACCAACCTGGCAACTTGGCGAGACCTCGCCTCTACAACAAATAAAAAAATTAACCAGGTGTGGTGGCATGTGCCTGTAGGTCCAGCTACTTGGAGGGCTGAGGCGAAAGGATCTCCTGAGCCCAGCAGGTTGATGCTGGGGTAGCCATGAGCATGCCACTGTACTCCAGCCTGGGTGACGGAGTGAGACTCTGACTGAAAAATAAATAAATAAATTTGGAGGGTGTTTTTGGTCCTCCCCATATCAACTCATTTAATCCTCATGACAAACACAGAAGGGAAGTGCAGTGTCAACCTGGTTTTGCAGATGGTGGGACGGACGCACAGAGAGACTAGGGTTACAAAAATGTGCCTGAGTCAGGAGCCCACACCCATCATCCCAGTGCTAGCCAGTCCCTCTAGTCACACCCAACGCCTTCCCTGTCCCCAAACACTCCACATGTGTCTCCTCACGCCTGCACGCTCTCACTCATGTTGCTGCTTCTCCCTGGCAGGGTTCCCCGGGCCCTGTTGTCCTCGAAGGCCCAGCTTCAAGGTCCCCTCCTCTCAGTTCCTACAGCATCTTGCACGTCTCTCTGACTTAGCCCCCTCCACCAGGCCTTGAGGTCCGGGAGGGCTTGGACTCATCTAAGTTGGTGTCCCCGACGGCCAGAACAAAGCTTGGCACATGGCAGGCACCAGGAAGCACCAGCTAAACCACTTACCCCCAAGTCGACCTTCCCCGTTGGTGGTGTGGAACTTGAGCAAGGCCTCAGCCACATCGATGCTCCTCTGAAGGAACTGAATGTAGTGCAGGACGTGTAGCAGAATCTCCTTCTGCCCCCCCAAAGAAAGACAAGGTTGAGCACCAGTGCCAGGGATGAGCCAGAGCTCAGGACAACGTGAGGCTGCCAGTGGCCAGCACAGGGAAAGGCCACAAGACCCGTCCCCCCACCCCACAATTCAGTTGGCAGAGACTTTCCTGCTCTGCTGTTTAGCCCTTACTGTACCCCAATGAGACAGAGGTTACAGCTAAAGAAACTGAGGCTCAGCCTGGCGCGGTGGCTCAGGCCTGTAATCCCAGCACTTTGGAAGGCCAAGGTGAAAGGATTGCCTGAGCTCAGGGGTTCAAGACTAGCCTGGGCAACTTGGTGAGACCTCATCTTTACAATTTAACAACAACAACAAAAAGCCGGGCATGATGGCTGAAACCTGTAATCCCGGCACTTTGGGAGGCCTAGGCAAGAGGATTGCCTGAGTCCAGGGGTTTGAGACCAGCCTGGGCAAATTGGTGAGACCTCGTATCTACAATAAATCAAAAAATTAGCCGGGCGTGATGGCGTGTGCCTATAGCTCCAGCTACTTGGAAGGCTGAGCTGGAAGGATTACCCAAGCCTAGCAGGTCAAGGCTGTGGTGACCATGAATGTGCCACTGCACTCCAGCCTTGAAAACAGAGTGAGACTCTGACTCAAACAAAAAAAAAAAAAAGAGAAACTGAGGCTCAGAGTGCCCATGGGATGTGTTATGACTGCAGGGATAAAGTGGCAGAACTGGAATCTGAACCTGGGTCTGCCTGCCTCCTGGTCCAGTTTTTCAACACACACTGCTCAGTTTCTTGCCCTGGCCCTTTGCTCGTGCTGTATTACCTACTTTATTTTTTTTGAGTCATAATCTCACTCTGTCACACAGGTTGGAATGCAGTGGCATGATCACAGCCACTACAGCCTCAACCTGCTGGGTTTAGGTGATTCTTCCACCTCAGCCTTCCAAGTTGCTGGAACTGCAAGCACGCACCACTACGTCTGGCTAATTTTTTAAATTTATTGTAGAGATGAGTTCTCACCAAGTTGCCCAGGTCAGTCTTGAACCTCTGGGCTCAGGCATTCCTCTTACCTCTGCCTCCCAAAGTGCAGGGATTACAGGCAGAAGCCACCACACCTAGCTCGTATTCTCTACTTGAAAAGTCCTCTTTTTCTCCCCACAAACTCCTTCACCTGGCTTCTCTTCTAAGCCTCAGCACAGTGGTCTCTTTCAGAAAACACCTCCTTGTCCCTCCTTCCCAGACTGGGTCGGCTGTTCCCTCCTTAGCACTCTTGTGTCACCAGGGCCTATCTCCAACCTGTGTGACAGAGTGAGATTATGACTCAAAAAAAATAAAGTAAGCTGCATAGGGGTAAACTAGACATGCTTCTGTTTGCCTTCATGGTGTGTACAATCTACTGAGAGCAACAGACCATAAACTCACTATGATTCCAAAGTGCTGGGATTACAGGCGTGAGCCACTGTGCCCAGCAGTACATCAAGGTTTTATGCAGAAGACAGCTAGGCATCACCCCAGATGTCAGGACAGAAGACTCAGTAATGGAAGCTTCAGAAAGGTTAGCTTAGGGGGCTACCCAGAGGTTGAAATCCCGGAGACATTCAGAAGGTAAAATTGACAGCATGTAACCTCGCAACAGAGGGAATTCATTCAGTCATCCAACAAACATCAGTTGAACATTGAGTAACAGAGTCCAGCAGTTGAAAGCACAGGCCTTCAGGGTGATACACATCTCTCTCTCTCAAAAGCCTTGTGGGATGATTAAATGAGAAAATGCATGCAAGACACTGAGCACTCCAAGTCTGACAGCTAGAATGCTCAGTAAGCTGGGAGTGATTGCTTTTGCTATCTTCTCTATACTAGGTCCTGTGGGCAAGGGGGACAGAGATTTATCCTTTATGGTTCCTGCAGAACTCCATCTAAAGGGGGTCAGAAACAAGGAAGCAATCATAGTAATATGATAAAGATTTTGATGGTCAGAGGTAGAGGGTCCAGGATCATATGGGGCAGGGGGCAATCACTAGCCAGAGCGGTGAGGAAGGATGCCCTGAGTCTAGGCTGCATCCTGAGTCTGAAACACAGGAGAGGCAACACGTAGTAGCTCCCATGAGTTCACTGAGCACCAGACTGAGCATGTCTCATGAACCTGGGATCACGTGTGATGATGCAGAGATAGGTCAGGTGGGAGGCCGGGCACTGACTGGGAGGCAGGTTGTATGCAGAGCAGAGGCCACGACTGAACTTAGGGAAGGCTGAAGTGAGGGAGAAGAGGGCTCCTGAGACAGCAGAGGATAGATGGTAAAGAAAGCTGGCTGAGGCTGGGTTCAGTGGCTTAGCCTGTAATCCCAGCACTTTGGGAGGTCAAGGCAAGTGGATTGCCTGAGACTGCGGGTTTGAGACCAGCCCAGGCAACTTGGCGAGACCTTGTCTCTACAATAAATAAAAAGTTAGCTGGGCGCAGTAGCACACGCCTATAGTTCTGGTTACTTGGAAGGCTGAGGCTAAAGGCCGTGAGCGTGCCACTGCACTCCACCCTGGGCGACAGAATGAGACTTCAAGTCAAAAAAATAAAATAAAAGAAAGCTGGCTGAGGCCTGAGGTGAATTCCAAGAGATGTGGTCACTTGATCAGTTACGAAATGTTAACTGTCCCCTGCTAGAATGCCGTTCCTTGAGGGCAGGTGGCTCTGGCTCCCAGGAGGCTCTGGCTCCCAGGAGACTTTTCGGCACCTATGCACACCAAATACTCAAATTCCTCAAATATTTTTAGCAGCGTAGTGGGCTGCATAATGCTTCTCCCCAAAGATGACCATATCCTAGTCCCCAGAGTCTATGAATATGCTACCTTATATGGCAAACTGGACTGTGCAGATGTGACTGAGTTAAGGATCTTAAGATGGGGCAATTGTTCTGGATTATCTAGGTGGGCCCGATGTAATCACATGGTCTTTACAAGAGAGAGGCAGGCACGTCAATGGTAGCGAAGACAATATGACCATAGGGGCAGTAGAAGAAAGGGATTTAAAATGCTTAACTGCTGGCTTTGAAGGGGCCAAGGAATGTAGGTGTCCCCTAGAAGTCAGCAAAGGGAGAGGAAACAAATTCTTCCCTGGAGCCTCAAAGAGGAACCACCCTATTGACATTTTTTTTTTTTTTTTTTTTTTTTTTGAGTCAAGGTCTCACTTTATCACCTAGTCACCTAGGCTGGAGTGCAGTGACATGCTTACAACCACCACAGACTCGATCTGCTGGGCTCAGGTAATTCTTTCACTTCCGCCTTCCAAGTAGCTGGAACTACAGGCATGTACCACCATGCCCAGCTAATTTTTTGATTTATTGTAGACATGAGCTCTCGCCAAGTTGCCCAGCCTTGTCCCAAACCTCTGGGTTCAGGCAATCCCCTCGCCTCAGCCTCCCAAAGTGCTGGGATTACAGGTGTGAGCCACCATGCCTGGTCTCTGCTGACATCTTGACTTTAGACCAGGGAGACTGATTTTGGACTTCTGAGCTCCAGAACCATAAGATCATGAATTTGTGTTGTTTTAAGCCACTAACATTATGATTTGTTACAGCAGCCATGGAAGACTCATACAAGCACCTGCTAATGAGAGAGATTTAGGAGGGAGAATCAATATGACCTGGTGGTTAACTGAGTGAGGTAGGCAAGGAAAAGGTCAAGATTGGAGTCAGGCAAGTCTGTGCCAAACACCCATTCCTCTGAAGCTCTCTAAAGCCATGTTGACACTCCAGCTCGGATCAGTTATTCCTGTGTTCAAATCATTATTTTCCCAACCAGATTTTGAGTTCCCAGCAGATAATGAGTGCTGGGCCTCAAATCGCTCTGTCTCTCCTTACTGCAACCAGAATAGCTTCTGGCATCAAATAATCTTTCCATAAATGGCTGATGAATGAATGAGGAAATGAATGAATAAATAAAAGGAAACAGAGCAAGAAAACATCAAGCCTTCAAGATCTGAGGGGTTTTGGGGAGTTTGTGTGGGTGTGTGTGTGTGTGTGTGTGTGTGTGTGTGTGTGTGTTTTAGTTGGGGTCTCATTTTGTCACCCAGGATGGCATGCAGTGGCACAATCCATAGCTTACCACAGCCTCTACATCCTGGGCTCAAGCAGTACTCCGTCTTCAGTCTTCCCAGTAGCTGGGACTACAAGCACATGCCATCATGCTTGACTTATTTTTTTATTTTTACTTTTGTAGACACGAGGTCTCACTATGTTGCCTAGGCTTGTTTTGAACTCCTGGGCTCAAGTGATCCTCCCACCTCGGCTTCCCAAAGTGCTGGGATTACAGGCGTGAGCTACTGCACTGGGTAAGATCTGAATTTCATATTAAGTTACTTCCACTGGTGTTAGCTTAATACTATACACAGTTATGAAGTAGCCTATAGGGACACAGAGAGAAAACTTATCTATTCCTACCTCACAGATGATACCCACAGGTAAAAAACAATGTTCTCAGAGAGGGAACCGACATTTATTTAGGACATGCTAGGAGCTGGGCGTGTCATAGCTATGTCATTTTGGTCTCACAATATCTCTGGGTAGTAGGAGTTATTTTTCCTTGTTTTACAGCTGAGAAACTTGAGGCTTGGAGAGACAGGGTAGCCTGAGGAGCCTGTCCAGAATCCACAGCTGTGAAGCCAGAGGGCTCAAATCCATGGCTGTTGGATTTCTGAAGCAATGATCTTCACTCTGTGCTTTTATTTCCCCCTTCCTCGTTTGTAAAAAGAATCCCCCAGGTGTCTAGTCATGGGATTTACAGACTCCCAGAAATTCTTGCTCAGAGCAGGCCCATTCCATTTCAAGGATGCCACTAAAAGGATCTGTTGCCGGGTGCAGTGGCCCATGCCTGAGCCCAAGCATTTGAGACCAGCTTGGGCAATTTGGGAGACCTCTTCTCTACAATAAATCAAAAAGCTGGGCATGGTGGCTCACATCTGTAATCTCAGCACTTTGGGAGACAGAGGTAAAAGGATTGCCTGAGTCCAGAGGTTTGAGACCAGCTTGGGCAACTTGCCAAGACCTGGTCTCTACAATAAATCAAAAAATTAGCCGGGCATGGTGACACATGTCTGTAATTCCAGTGACTTGGGAGGCTGAGGCAGAAGGATAACCTGAGCTCAGTGGGCAGAGGCTGCGGTGGCTGTGAACATGCCACTACACTCTAGCCTGGGTGATAGAGTGAGACTCTGACTCAAAAAAAGAAATATTAGCTGGGTGTGATGGCACATGCCAGTAGTACCAGTTACCTGAAAGGCTAAGGTGGAAGGATCGCCTGAGCCCAGCAGGTCAAGGCTGCAGTGGCTGTCAGTGTACCACTACACTCCAGCCTGGGTGACAGAGTGAGACTCTGACCAAAAAAAAAGAAGAAAAAGATCTGTCTGGGTTTCCCAGGACAAGGTTATCCGCTTTTTGCTGCTTGAAGAACTGCCTCCCTGTTGGTCTCCTTTCCTTCAGTCCCCATACCTTGGTGAGCTTCTTTGTACCAGTCTTCGGGGCGATGGGTAGCAGCAATCCCAGCTCTTGCAGTTTGCTAGTGTGGCTTTTCCTCTGCTTCCTGTTGGAAACAAGAGCTAATTTTGGTTAGGACATTCACAACTGAATTTGGCCTTAGAACCCCCAAGCCTCTTATCTCAGTGTTCCCCCTCCTCAGGGGTACTTAGCCCCTGGTCCCCACCCTGGAGCACCCAAGACAGAATCCCAGGCATCAACCTGACTCATCACTCTCCCTTACCCCCTGTACCAACCGGTGGCCAAATCTTGCCTGTTCCTCCTTTATCCCCTCTCTTCATCCCTGCAGTCCCTGTCTTAGTAGATAACATCCCCAAAAGTCTCCCAGCCCCCCATCTGGTTCCTCCATTCAGACTCACTGCCAGAGTCAGGGTGATCTTTCGGAAACACAAATCTGACCACATCATCGCCTTGCTTCAGGTCTCTCAATGTCATCCCATTGTTTTGTTTTGTTTTGTTGAGTCGGAGTCTCACTCTTGCTCACGGTCACCCACAGCCTCTGTCTACTGGGCTCAGGGGATCCTTCCGCCTCAGCCTTCCAAGTAGCTGGAACCATAGGCATGTGCCACCATGCCTGGCTAATTTTTATTTATTTATTGTAGAGATGAGGTCTCGCCATGGGATTACAGGCTGGAGTCACTGCACCTGGCTCATCCATTGTTAAGATCAAGTTAAAACCCTTAATGTGGCTCCAATGCCTTTTGAGGCCTGGCTGTTCTTGTCTCGTTTCTCACCTCCTTGGCTCTCTTCCATCAACAGACTCTTATCCCACAGGACAGGTCAAGGGACAGGACAGGTCAAGGGGCCAGGGGACCCTGCCAAGGTCCCCTGGCCCCTGTGTTCACACATGCCTCTGATCACTGCACCAGACCAACAGCTGGGTAGAGGGCACCACTATACCCCGAGCACCTAGAACAGGGTCTGGCACATGGCAGGGACTATTTTGTAATTGCTAAGTGAATGAGTAAATAAGGGCATAAAAGAAGTTGATGCCTGGACAGCTGTAGAACTTTGAGGGCCTAATCCCTGGATCCATAATTCATAACATACCCACGCACACACACCTCCACCCCACTCTCCTGACAGAGACACAAAGACACTGAAGTCCTTCTCTTTTTTTTTTTTTTGAGTCAGAGTCTCACTCCGTCACCCAGGCTGGAGCGCAGCAACACGCTCACAGCCACCCCAGCATCGACCTGCTGAGCTTCCTTCCAAGTAGCTTCAGCCTTCCAAGTAGCTGGAACTACAGGCATGCACTACCATGCCCAGCTAATTTTTGATTTATTGTAGAGGTAAGGTCTTGTCAAGTTGCCCGGGCTGGTCTCGAACCCGTGGGCTCAGGCAATCCACATGCCTCGGCCTCCTAAAGTGCTGGGATTACAGGTTGAGCCCCCGAGTCTGGCCTGAAGTCCTTCTTTCTTTTTCTTTTTTTTGAGTTGGAGTCTCACTCTGTCGCCCAGACTGGAGTGCA